AAATAAAGAAGATATAAAATGAAAATAAACTTACTTTGTGATTTACTAAAATACTTGTTATCAGGTATAAAAATACAATACGATAAATAGGAGCATGTCCTTTCAAGGACGCTAAGAAATGGTAAACCTAATATTCTCGCTTTTTGAATATTTATAACGTGAGCGGTACGTAATTTAACTTTACTTTTCGTTATCTCGAAGGCTTTATCTATTTACGTTTCTTTCGAATCGTTACTATTAATGTGGATTCCAGCGTACTCCGTCGAAAAAAAAGGAATAAAACTGCCTTGTTGTATCTTCGAATTATTTGTTCTTCTATACCTTACAATTATGAAGTAGCGTTCTTTTTATTATTAACTTGCTCCTGTTCCCAACTTAAAACAGTTCAAATTAGGTATTTCATATAACAAAATCAAATTAGGCATTTCATATTACAATTATAAATAAAAATGAAACACAATTGTATCTTGTATCTTGTATTAACTGATGTTTGGGCTTTCAGTCCCGAGACTATTAAAGCTTCATCTGACGCAGAACCGGTGGGCTCGCCAGAACACACGGGTTTGGGCCCTCCGCTGGGGGTAGGGCCGCGCATGTGCTCATGCGTGAGTTTAACTACGGCATGTCATCTAAGGGCAGGGCCATCGAGGTTGTGGTGCGGACCGAGACCCCGATGGCCGTCGACTGCGTTATTAGCTAATCGGTGGCTGGCGCTGGTGAGAACCGCCCTGGACATGGCGGGTGTACCTTGTGTATGTGTTGTGTTGGTCTCGCCGTGTTCGGAGGCGAAGGCGAGCTAATGTGTTTGTTGCTACACTACTACTCCATTCTTTTATTAAAATTTACTTGTACAGAAAATCTTGAAAAGGTAAAGTTTTCTGGCTACACTGAAGTGTAGTCTTCTTAGAGTTGGCTCACTTTTCTCATTTGGGTCCTCCGATTATACTGTTAAGTTTACAGAAATGCAGAGAGAAAGCATTACAAATTTTCACTTGACCCTTGCTGTGGCGTATTTATACTATTATAATCTGCTTTGGATAAATAAGATGAAAGAATCTTTGCTAATGTTTTATTTCCCGATAAATTATTTAACTTTAATATCAAATGTAACATTTTTGTACAATTACGTATCACTAATTCTCTGGAAGATATTAGTCGTCACACCTGTTAGAATTAAATGTGTAGGTCTTTTTTTCATCTCGACTCATGCACCGCACTGTCACTCAGAATAATACTTAGAATGGGCGAGTTCTGTTATAAAAACTTGACAGAAATGGGAATAGACAATTTAGACGTCAATCTGTCTTACTCTGATGTAACATTGTTCAATTTCTATGGGTTTTGTCCACAGTTTTTGTATGGAGCAGTCTTTTATGGATACACTGGGTTCACGCTTTCAATAAAGTTTCCACTGTGCCCATAATCATGCGAAGAATTATTGCTTCTGATTTACGAAAGGCTCAGCTAAAGAACAATTCGTGTTCATTCTTACATATCATATTATTATTATAAAATAACGTAATAGTGTCAGCCATCTCCGTTCTGTCAATATGAGATCAGACACTTTGATTATATATTTGTCTAGATGGAGCAATGCTTAACAAACGACGCGCTTAAACTGACTCCGGTTATTTCATATGTGTTATGTGTGCCTATATTGCCTGATATGTGTGCCGCTCGTGTACTTAATATAAGTAATTAAAGATTGGATAATATATTACATCAATGTCAACGGACTGTAACATCCATATGCATTTAGTAAAAAGCGGTTATTTTAATATTACAAACAGTCACTAATTTTATTCATCTGTATAGATTTCAATCTTATGCTTGCTTATGCCTTTAGCTTCACTTACCACAGAGCGTGTTTGCTCAGTATTACTCTCGATAGATCTCGAATTTTTGTGAATTTAGGCAAGTGAGTCTTTTAATTTTTTGCAGGAATTGCTGAATAGCGCGTATCATACAGACTGTAGACAGTTTTTTTTATTACTAACTTTGTACAGTTTTCCATCTTTGCGTAGAAACTGTAAACTTCTTGGAACAAACAAAAGAATCAATAAGTTTCTTGAGAGTATTCAGCGGCACATTCGTCCTATATAACACATACATCCTTAATAAATAGCAGTAGAGACCATTTTTTGTTACAAATCATATTAATAATAACAAAATATTAAACGTATTATTATAGTAGCTATTAATTGAGTGCAAAACATAAATTAAACAATCTTGGAAACTTTAGGAAATAAAAAAAAATATTTATATATAAACAGCTTCATTCACGGTAACGGCTCAAAAGTTTTGTTTTTCTCTCTTGATTAATGATCACGTTCTTCTCTAATTAAATAAAGAAATATCTGCGTTTGATTAAAGATACTTAAAACAGTATTTTGCCTTATTGATATCAAAGTAAATTGGGTTGCGTTATTTATATCCCACTTGACCAGCAAACAAGATCCACAACAGAGTTTAGTGTGGTAGAGCCACGCAACAGCCTCGGCTGTTGCACGAATGGGCTCGTAAAGTGGATGTATGACAAATACTTTCGCGTTTCGTCTGGTGAGTGAGGTAGCCGGAGCCCAATTTCCAAAAAGGTTGTCAACGCTTCTGCAAACCCTCGGGTGTAGCAGATGTCTATGGGCGGCGGTATTCACTTAACATCAGGTGAACCGTCTGCTCGTTTGGCAACTTGTCACAAAAAAAAAAAAAAATACAACAACTAGCCCTCCTTGGGACTGCGGTGTAACTTCATAGGGTCAGTAGCGGAGCACAATTCGTAAAATAATTCGTTAAAAGAACCAGATAAACTAATGAAAGTAGTATTCGATTGGGCTGTACTCCATTTTTGGGTCTTTACAGGGTACCGAAATCGGGTGGCAAGGTATATTGACCACGCAAGCCAACGCTTACTTTACTCTTTGAATTGCATTAAAGTGTACATTAGTAAACTTTTCCTCCAGCAACGTTTTGCTGACGTTTTTATAAAATTTATTACTGGGTTTGTTTGTTTAATTACTGTGGAGTGTATGTATCTATTGTTGCTCGAATGACCGGACTCCATCCTTAGAAGTACCACAGACGACAGTCATGGTCAGAAAAGTGTGAACTGGAAGTGTTGTACATATACTTATTACTTTTGCATTTCGTCTGGTCAGTGTGGTAATCGGGACATGTACATAATTATGTTTTAATTCATATAATCTGTTGTCGAAATTTATTGCGTAAAGTTTATAAGATAAATTATTAATGTTAGAGAAATATACTTTATGCATATTATACATTTCTAGTAATTATTATTTACATAATTAATAAGTTGATGTTCAAAACTTACACAAAAATAATATATACGTTTCAAGTAATATTGCAAAAACTTATAGAGAAACTTTTCAGTATACATACAAGTCAATTTTGAGGCAAAGTCCTAAGGCATATACACTCATACAAGTATCTCAGGTATTAACGAGATGGCGCTGTATATAAATATTTTGTAAAATCACGTTTTTTCACCTCTCGTGTAAAAACTTAATAAAGAGAGAAAATCAAATCTTTTGAACCGTTTCCGAGAATGAAGATGTTTATATATAAATATTTTTTTTTTCTCTAAAATTTCCAAGACTTAAATTTATGTTTTGCACTCAATTAATTGCTACTATAATAATCCGTTTAATATTTTGTTATTACTAATATGATTTGTAACAAAAAATGGTCCCTACTACTATTTATTAAGTTGGGTGCATAATTAGTTATCAGTTTTACGAATAATAGTTTTTAAAACATATTTGGATTATGGATAGTTAATAATATGTAAATCTACCAGTCAATATTTAATTTCAGCGTTAAGGCCTTAAAACTAGTAAAAAACCAATTTCCATTTAAAAGTTTAAACACGAACGCACCCTTGACAACATGACAATAATGAACACAGTATCAAATCCAATTTATGACAATTAGGGAATTTGAGTGACAGTTCTTCGGATTTATTCATGGGTAGAATAAACAGTGACATGTTTTATTTGTTGGTATTTTATCATGTGCGATTAATTTAAAACTTACCATTTCTATAAGTTATCAGAAAGTTACCTTTACGAAATCTTTTAAAAATCTTACATAATTCTATTGCGAAAGTGTTTTTGACATTTAGGTATTTTGATTGTTGATTACTTTTACTTTTATTGATTGAAATCTCGATCTTCTGTCTATTTGACCCTTCATTTTCCAATTTGCACGTAACAATTTACTTTAATTATCTGTTAACGAATTCAGTATTTGTCCTTGTATGAATTTACCTCTCTACGATTGGCTAATCTAAGGTCAATGTCGAATTTCGACCAACTTGGACGTATCAAAATATCGAGTTCAGTGCTTTTAAATGAACCTAAGGTGTTTAAATTAGATAATGCTCCTATTTTTTAAAGTACACTACTGTATGCTAGATAAATTATCTTTACAGGTCAAATGTAAAATGTGGATACCTTAGTGTCTTCAAAGAATTGCAATATAGTATATAATACGTTATAACTGGATTGTGCACGAATTGCACAGACATGAGTAATGCTGGGGTACCTAATATTATGAACAATTTGCCACCTGGTGTTAACCCTGAGAATAATATTTTACCTGGAGGTCCCATTATAAATCAAATGATGAATCGGAACAGAAATAACAATCAAAACCCACTTTTTAATGTTAGGGAGAGGCTGTTTCATGCTTTATTTTTCAAGTTTGCTGTTGCATATGCAAGAACATTTCCTAGACCTGTGCGAAGATTTTTTGAATTTCTTGTTCTGTTGAAGGCACTCGTGGCTTTCTTTGTACTTGCATATATTCATATAGCATTTTCAAGAACACCAACAACTTGCTTGAACCATGTGAAAGATTCCTGGCCTCGCGATGGCATATTGCGAGTGGAAATATTGAGAAATCCTTCACAAGATTACACTATAGAACAGAGTTATGCAAAAGAAAGGAAATTGAAAAAGGACAAAGAGGATTTTAACACGATGTTGGGAATGTTGGCAACTGAAGGGTGAGTTTGGAACTTAAAATTATTTCTGATGTATTTTGTTTTAAAGTTTTCATGTTTGCATTTGTTTCATTTTATTACTTCAATAGCCTCTGAAGGGGGTGTTAAGGGGTTGATTTCAACATGGGACAAATATTTGTGACACACACACATAATCATTTTGAATTTGGGTGTTTGTTCTCAAGAATGATTGCATCAAGCAAACAGGCAGTCTTAAAAAAACCAATAATATTGACAACATGTTATGCTGATCCCACCTAAGCTGCAAAAGGACAATAAGATTTTTTTTAAAACAGTACTGCAAAATTTTATTTGCCTGACCTGTGAATAAAATCAACAACATCTTTATATCATATAGCCAGAATTACTTTAGGATAATATAATTTTCTGTGAGATAAAAATAATATTTTGGTTGCATTACCTTTATAGTTGTCATTTGGTAATTTTATTTATTCCATATGTTTAAAGTGGGATAGCATTTTAGGTAAACAGCTTTTATATTTTTTGACTTTGATATTTATTAGTCAAATTTGTTTCATTTATTGATACTTGGAAATTTATTGTTTCTAAATATTTGATTTCTGTTTGTTCTATTTGAATGTGTATGCATGTTTATTGACTATATATAAATAAGTTGTATATTATTATCTTAAGTCTATTATTCATAAAATTTATTTTCAAAGTAAAAGTCCAAACTTCTTCATTAAATTTTTTTTTAATTGTATGATATAAGATTGGAACAGCTGTAAATTTTTGTTTTATATACTTTTTCAGATTTATAAACATAGAATCATCAACATCCAATGATGAAATTGAGGAAGATGAATATTTGAGAGATGGCACAGATTATGGCAACATTACCCGTATTCATGATGAGAATACGGAAGATGTAATTTCTGATGAAGTAACTGAGACAGCTTATTTAATGGATGGCAAGACTGATTCTTTTCCTGATAATTCTGAACCTGATCTAAACACAACTATAATACCCGGGGTTGAAATGGAACCATCTTCATCCATCTGGGAGGGTATAATGGGCCTTGTGGAAGACTTGGATGGGGATTCAAAACTGTTAGATGTGAGTTATTGTGCCTTCCTTTTCTTAACTTGTACATTTACGGTAGATACACCTAGCAGCTTCTGGTGTGTAAATTGGCTGGTACAAATGGAGAATCATAGAAAAGTATGTCCTAAGTATATCCTATGTAGCAGAAGTATGAGGTGTGTGAGAGAGGGACATCCCCTCTTATGAGACAAAATGTGTATTATTTTTGGGTCAATAAGTGAGAAGTAACTTGCTTTGTTTGGTATGGTATATTGGATATTAAATAGTTATCTTTTCTCATTAAGTAAATTGCTAGTTATATAGTTTTTTTAATGAAATGCTTAGTGTAATACACATTTTGTACTGTTTCTTTTTAGTTATCTGGCCAATTAAAAAAAAAAAAAAAAGTCAATCAAATACATAAATCATCTTGTTATATAAGCTAAAAAATACTTACAGTACTTTTTTTCAAGTTGGTTTTCCCTCGTCATTATTAATAAATATCTTGTGTGTGTCATCCTAAAACAAAAAAACTAATATTTATCATTCTTCTTTAATAATTTGCGTTATTCTATTGTCGTTATTCTTTTGTTGTAATAATCTTTTTAACATATTAATTTTACCTTTTCAGTTATTATGGATTTAGAAATTATTTATTTATTATTATCAATATTATTTATTTACATATATTTCATCGAGCTATATTCTATTTCATCTATTTCTATAAAGGCTATTTCAATACTGGATGATAGATTTTTTAAATCTTTTTTTGGTTTTACTATTGCTTAACCCCTGTTTAAGCAGCATTCTCATTTTGATGTACTCACCTAAACATTTGCACACCCTCTGTTTCTTCTATCCACCTTAAAGAATCTATTGCTGAATCACATGTTCGTAAAGTAAACTATCAGCCAATACATGTCCCACTGCTGGACAAAGTCCTCCTCTATACAGAGGGCGGATTGTGTGACTGTGCGGATATTGGTGAACTTCAAATATCTTCGAAATATTTTTTTTATATTATTTCGAAAATATGCAGGTTTCCTCACGATGTTTTCCTGCACAGCTTAGCACGTGATAATTCGGCACTTAAAATTAATAATTTTATTGGTGCCGGCACCCGGGATCGAACTCAGGTTGCTCAAGTATATTGAATTAAAGGGGAGCGCCCGGACACTGAGCTATCTCGGCTCTATTTTTGTTTGACTTTTAATTAATTGTACTGTGAAGGGATATGGTCTAATAATATTTGTGTATAGGTCTTCACTCACGAGTAGGAAAAATATGTTGACACTATTAAATTTTTGCTTGTCAATGAAGGAGGCAATAATCACATTCTTTTCACAGGAATCACATGATGAAGCAGCTACGAATGACTCATCTAAAGGTAAAACAATATCCTTGCATTGAACATATACATTAATATTTTATTTTTATCAATTTCACACACGAATTTGCAACTTAATTTTTATTTTGGTTAAGTGTGATTGCTGAACAAGAATCACAGATAACGCCAAGCATTGATACAAATGCAATAATAAACAAAAAGTAGATGGGATGTCGATTTTTGCACGGTGAGCTCATCTATACAAGTAATATGGAAGGCGAAGGTTCCGAAGCTGAGAAAGGGTTCGAATCCTGAGAATGGCGAAAAAATTTTTGCGAAGTTTTATCTACACGTTTATAACTATCACATATTATTTTGTCAGTATAAATTTAGAATTACTTGTAAATTCATGACAGACAATGTAAAAAATATTTTTAGACGAAGACTACATCCTTGAGTATTCACTAGAATATGGGTTCCTACGATTGTCACCAAGTGCTCGCTTACATCTTAAGATCCCAGTGAAGATTGTAACCTTGGATCCACAAAAGGACGAGTGCTTTGGTGACACATTTTCTCGGTTTGTGCTGGATGAATTCCTCGGATATGACGACCTTCTTATGGCATCGATAAAGACCTTGGCTGAGCAAGAGGATAATAAAGGTTATTTGAGGTGAGTAGCTTAGAAGCCCTACGAATATTCATACTAACATACTTAAATTAACGAAATACACAAAACGTAGCTATTTAAAAGTATTTGATTACTTACTTTTATTTAGATTATTGCATGCCTCAGTAATTTCTAAGCTCTATAAATTCAAATGTAATATTTGTACATGCGGCCAAATGTAAGCAGCTGCTACTGAGGGACTCCTGTCCAGAGATGAAAAAAGTACTCCATGTGGGGCTGAAATTGCGCCTTATAGAGGTTTGGACGTTGAGCCGACTTGAAGTACTGTCTCGCCTTGAAGTACTGTCTAAGCACACCAAACTTATTTCAGGCCAATTTGGCCTTACCTTCCAATTGACCGGAACTGGAAGTTGCTCGATAAGTAGTCACCAAGTATTCCGATACTAACTGTGGCAGACAGGGTAGTGAGTACAAAATGAGGAGTTACGACAAATGGTAACTTATTAGCGGTTAATATGAAAACTTGTTTTTTTCGGGTTAAACTAAGTTTAGTGGACCCCAGTCTGAGACTTTTAACAAAGATTCTACTTCAGACACAATCTTGTTCCGGCTGTCGTCGATGTATTCCCGAAAAATATTCGCACGGCCAGTGTCCAAGAGAGTGTTATCGTCTGCATAGCAATGAATGTTGCTGATTTGCAACATGTCATTGATATGCTTGGAAACAGAGCAGGAGACAGTACGCAGCCTAGTGGAACACTAGTATTGACAAATTTGTGATCAGATTATCTCCTTCGAGGCGGCTACTGAGGTCACCACTGTGGAGGTGACCGGGACTCCGCGCAACAAACGCTCGCAGAGTGCCCTGCGTGGGAGTTCGAACGACGGATACTGGTACTAAGGGAATTAGAAAGAGCAGGGATAAACTATATGATCTATATGGTATTAAGTCATTATCTTTTGATCCTAACTTCCATGAATATGTTAGGAATTATTCAAAAATTTTTAAAAGGGTCTGTACTTTAGCTAAAGCAGACTATTTGAGTAATAAAATTAAATTGTCTTCAAATAAAGTTAAAAGTACATGGAATGTAATAAATAAGGAAACTGGCAAAAATAATGGAATAAAGGCAGATTTTACATTAAAAGTTAATGGCAAAGTTTTAAAAGAAAAATATAAAGTTGCAAATGAGTTTCTTAATGTCTTCACAAATATACCTTGTGAAACTACTAGACATTTGCAACACTGTCCCACAGAGGCAGTAACATATCTCGATAAATATGTTAATATTTCTGTTCCAGATTTTAAATTTTGTCATATAGGCCCGAATGATATTATTAAAACATTTAAAAATCGAAATAAAAAGAAAACAGAAGACTTATGGGGCTTATCAATATGGGCAATTGATCTTATAATCTATGACATTGCTTGCATATTAGCCCAAATATTTAATACATGTTTAGACAGTAGCAAATTCCCAAAGTTAATGAAATATAGCAAAGTTGTGCCAGTATATAAATCGGGTTCGAGAGATGATGCCTCTAATTACCGTCCTATCTCTATGTTGCCGGCCTTAAGCAAAGTGTTTGAGAAAATAATGCTGGATTAAATGATAGTACATTTTAACAAATATAAAATTTTAAACCAGCACCAGTTTGGATTTACTAAAGGTAGATCTACAACTGATGCAGGGATAGAATTAGTTTCATATATCCTGCAGTCCTGGGAAAGCTTTCATGACACCATTGGTGTGTTCTGTGACCTTTCCAAGGCATTTGACTGTGTAGATCATACAATTCTAATCAGGAAATTGGAATATTATGGTATTCGCAATTGTGCCATTGACTTTGTTTCCTCATATCTTACTGACAGGAAACAAAAAGTAATCATAAATGGTATATTGTCAACGGGGTCAAAAGTAAAAATGGGCGTTCCTCAAGGATCGATCCTGGGCCCTTTTCTGTTTTTAGTTTTTAATGATTTGCCATATATAGTGGAAAAAAGGTCTCAAATTGTTTTGTTTGCGGATGACACTTCATTATTGTTTAAAGTTAAAAGGAAAGATGATGCACTGGAACAACCAAATGAAATACTAGATGTTGTGTCTGGCTGGTTTGCTACCAATAATTTACTTTTGAACTCCAATAAAACAAAATGTATTAGATTTACTCTTTCAAAGTTGTGTCACCAATCAGGAATCTCTATTGATGAGAAAATCCTACCCCTTGAGGATTCAACAGCATTTCTTGGAATAAGCGTTGACTCCAAGTTGCAATGGGGATATCATGTAGATAAGTTAGCTAAGAAATTGAGCGCTGCCGTCTTTGCCATACGCAAAATCAGGCAGCTAACTAATGAGGAAACTGCAAAATTAGTTTATTATGCTTATTTTCACAGCATAATGTCCTATGGTGTCTTACTTTGGGGTTCCGCATCCGGTCTAGACACAATATTTGTATTACAAAAGCAGGCTATACGGGCCGTCTATGGCTTGGGTCCACGTGAGTCGCTACGACATACATTTAAGCAAATAAACGTCTTGACGCTCCCGTCGCTTTACATACTTGAGAACATCATGTATGTACGTAATAATATCGACCTATTTACGAAAAAACAATCCACATCGCGTCGGGGCCGTGGTGACACTCTGGAAGTACCGAGGTTTAGATTAGCTAAAACCAGAAAGTCGTTTCTTGGAAGATGCATCACCTTTTATAATAAAATAGGTGACATCCACAAACAACTAAGTATAAACAATTTCAAACAATTTGTAAAAGTTACCTTAATGGCAAGGGCTTATTATAATATCCAAGAATATATAGAGGACAAGGACATGTTTGGAAATGACTCTTGCTCTGCACTTGCAAGACCCCTGGCTGCTGCTGATTTTATACCCAAATAAGTGTGTATAATTGCATTAAAAAAAAATATATATATAACAAAAAGAACAAGACCGCAGAGTTTCTTGCCGGTTCTTCTCTGTGCAGGTCTAGTTTAGTGAACCGGTGGTAGATTTTTGTTGACGTTCAATAAGAGCTTAAGTTAGGCCTATATTGAATAAATATACTTTGACTTTGACTTTGACTTTGGTCCGGAGTATCGGAGAGGACCTTTCTCTACCAGTCGCAGTGGCCGCTGCTGGCCTGCCGGATAATTCTGCTTGGCAGGCACTGGTCTCTTTCTGTGAAGCTGTTATGTTCCAGAAGAAGGTCGCCGAGCGGGAAAGGGAGAGAGCCGACCCCGCTCGGAGACGGCGGCGCCAGGCCGGCAGGGGCAGATGTGCTGTGCACCGTCAGCCCCGTAGTTCCAGGCTCATAGAATAGGACTAAGGTATCTCCTGCCTGTCGTAAAAGGCGACTAAAAGGGGACACGGATGGGCAGCAGTTCGAAGCGGCCTCGAGCTGCTGCAAGATGGCGAGGGAATCGTGGAAGCTTTATCCTTCTCCGAGGCGTGCTCACATCCAGGACCGAGGGACACCGGTGCGTTCCATTGGGAGATCCCGGGGTCCCTCCAAACGTACAGAAGTTGGCAACCGAGGGGGTTTTAGTGGGTAAAAACCCCACTTAACCCTCTCATGTAAGATGACAGGGTATCTTTTGAAGATTTCCCCCCCGATACAAAAAAAAAGCCCGTAGCATGATAGATTCGAAAGAAGCGTTTTGAGCTATACCCGATCAAAGGCCTTTGCTTTGTCCAGACTTGCTGCAAGCGCCCTCGCCTTGGTCTGTTTCTGGCCATCTTTGTATCATGTAAACTAGAAGATCAGCGACTGAGTGACCCCGACGAATGCCATAATGGAGGTCACGAATCAGCCGGTGCTCCTCTAGGTACCGCAGGAGCTGGCAGTTGATAAGGGACTCCATTATTTTTGTGAACAAGGAATATAGTCTTGTAATTGGACGTACCCGATCGATTGCCTTTTTTAAAGATCAGGTGCACTAAAGCGGCCTTCAGGATTTCGGGACTACGCCTATGTATAGCAGTGCCGGAAAAGACGCGTCAAAACCGGAGCCAATTCTGGAGCACATGTCTGCAACACTATCGGAGGGATGCCATCGGGTCCACTCGACTTATGAATATCCAAGGAAAGACTTGCTTTGTCAAAATAAACCTCTGGCATCGAAGCATCGCACCGAGGGATTGTCGGTGGTGAATTTACTCAATCATCCAGAGCGTAGTTGCACTTGAAGAGAGAGCCAAGAAGATCGGGCCTTATTAACAAGCTTTCATTGTGCGGTATATATAATGATCTAATCGGTTGAGTGTAAGACTCTGAGTGAACGACTTCTCGAAATCTTGGTCGAATTTGGGAATCTTGGTCGGGTTTTTGTCTGAGTTAATGAAGAATAATGCCGGAGTTCCTCATGGGTTCGTTCCATTCGTTCTGCATCTTTCATTATAACTATCATATTAACGATCTGTGTTTACCCGATACCTATGAGTGTGCAGACGACAGAACAGTAGTGGGGAGCTACTTATCGAACATTTGGGCCGATAAATTCAGATCGAAAGGACTGCTGCTTTATTCGGACGGGTACTAATAAAAACAAACCCGATGCTTTAGACTCAATGCATAGGTGTGCAAGAGGCTCATTGTTGACCATAATTTGGCTCTAGCCTCTCAAAACCCGTGAATTCAGGCTAGCCCACCCGTTCTGCGTCAGATGAAGCTTTACTAGGCTCGGGACTGAAAGCACAAACATCAGTTAATAAAAGATACAAGAAACTCTAGCGTCGAGCACAGGCCTAGGGTAGCCAGCATCTCGGTTTTCTGTAGGTCGAAATGCAAACTGCAAGAGTGCATCATTAAACGAGTTAATTCCTCCCTCCCCTTTCCACCTCCGGACGACTAGACGATCAGCTCTACGGTTCTACCTTTATGTTATTGACGTTCCACACATTCGAACTAAGCGTTTTGCTAAGTCGTTTGTTATGCGTACAGCTGAGGAATGGACAATATGCCGGCTTCTGTTTTTCCATCCGAATATAACGTCGGTGTTTGCAAGACGTGAGTGGATACGATTTTACTGTCCTAGCGCGTCCACCGCTGCATGCTACTAACCTACTTATTTTAAAGGTTATGGACGCATCTTCAAGCCCTCGCGTGTTATAGATGTCCATAGGCGGTGGTGATCACATATTATTTTTATGGGGAAAAAAGCAGCAAACGAGCAGGAGGCTCACCTGATGGTAAGTGATCACCGCCGCCCACTTAACATCAAGTGAATCACCTAAAAAGGTGGGATAGCAGTTAAGCACTAGGCAGTAATAATGACCACGTCTCCGCCGTTCCGATTTTAACTCTTTCGTTCGTTTTGTTCGTCAAACAAAGCTCAAATCAACCGAAATTAGCGCGATTGTCTATTTCTAAAGATTGATGTGCAATATTTAGTACCGATTTCTATTATTAGTTTTTGTATAATGCGTCCACCGTGCAAAGCGGCGGTGGTTATTCACCATTGTTCACCACCTTCTCCCAGCGGTTTATCTACTGTTGGTCTTGTGAACCCTTGTGGTAGCAAACTAGATTTTTGGTGTCCTTTTTTCATTAAAAAATCAACGTACCGATTGTTACAGGAACGTAATTACCGGGGAGCATTACCGTTTCGTCTCTATGCTAACCGCGCGGAGCTCTTACATCGCGGCCTTCTTCATAATGCTAGTCTTTGTGAGTATTGTCACTGTAATATACACTAATACGCTAGCCTAAATCTGCCGTGCTCACTGTACCATTTGTTTAGCACAGATGTTTTTTTGTTCGCTTGAACCTGACGTGTTAACCGTACTTTTTGTCCGGCTACGTCTTTGCTCTATTCGTTTGCATTTAAATTTTAAACGTGTACTTATCTGTAAGCGAAGTATAATAAAACAATTAAAATAATTATCACCTATGATAATAATGTGTTTGTATCTATGTAGTGATGACGGCAAGTTAAAGCTGATAATTTATTTTAATCCGTTATGAACCTAAATTACGCATGTGTTATAGACTTTCTCAATAACATTTTATGAAAGATAAGTAAATACATATTGATATAACGAGAAACGATTAATAAAGTTGGAAGACAACGAAAAGAGCGATGGTAATATCTTCTAAGGTTGACTGACTGATAACGCCAATTTATGGCCGACCTTAGTCTAAGGTGAACAATTAAAAAGAGATGTATTACTAGCATATAAATCTGGCGTTGCTTATCATTGCCCTATTTATTTATAAAATAATAAATTTATTTCGTCACTATAATTACAAAACAAAGATATGCAATATTTTAAATGATCGCGCTCTGGTTGAATATTGAATTACGCTCCAGGCGGCATCGTCCCTTTTAAGGTCCATACAAAAGAATGGTAGACCCATGAAAAGTGAGTGTGGGGGATTACGCTTCTAGAGAATATTTTTTCAAGTTCATACAAGATAGTTTAAATTTAAATTAAACTATTTTGTGAATTCTGTCCATCTTGCTTTTGATTTTGATTTTTTTACCTTATAAATGAAACTAATTTTACGGATTTATCGCGTTTATTTTTAATTTTAATTCCCGACGTTTCGAACCCTTTACAGCGTTCATGGTCACGGGACAGACTGAGGTGTTAGACGTCTGATTGTCATAGTTAACCCGGGCTACCGTCAGTTTTTGAATTATTAATTTTGTGTCCGATCTATATATCCGATAAATTAATAATTCAAAAACTGACGGTAGCCCGGGTTAACTATGACAATCAGACGTCTAACACCTCAGTCTGTCCCGTGACCATGAACGCTGTAAAGGGTTCGAAACGTCGGGAATTAAAATTAAAAATAAACGCGATAAATCCGTAAAATTAGTTTCATTTATAATGTGTAATCGCGTAAATACAAGAAAATTTTTTTACCTTTCGAAAATTAACTAGTTTTTCAGGATGCTGTAGTTTTCGGGTACTTCAAAATAAAATCCCATTGTGATAACATCCTTTAATGAGGAAATAGTTATTTTTAAGTGAGTTGCGTTTTAAAGCATGAGCAAAAAATATACAAAAGCGATTCCTGTAAAACAAACTATTACTAATTACTAAAGAACCGCTGTAACCGATGTAAGAATTATTATTATTTTGTTTTGAGAGTTCTAGAAACAACGCCGCTATGTATACAAAGTACTAAAGAAAGCATTTATTTGCTTTAAACAAATCCAAAATAGATGGCAGTGTTGTTGAATTTAATAAAGTGCTGCCATCTTTCGGTTGATTTTAGAAATGAAAACTACTCGCTACGTTGAGTCTTGAGTGGCTTGGGGATTCGAGACTTAAAATTTCCGAAAACTTACTGTAGATGGCGTTGACTGACAACTTACTGTCATTCTAGTTTATTGGAGACATGCTATCAAACATAGCTTTTACCGATCTGTAACTCAATGACTCAGTAATTGAATAACAATAATACTTAGCTTTTCCAACAGAGTTTATGGAGACAAGTTATAAAATACAGCTTTTACCGATTTATACAACTATGACTCAACGATGACTCAATAATTGGATAACAATAGTACATAGTTTTTCCGTCAGAGCAACAGCCTTAACTACCAATAACCAAAAACTAGCCCGCGTACGTTGTGAGAGTTGAATTTATACCCCTCAAAAACCAATACAACTACCCCCCCATTCTAAGGTGTAGGAAATATCACGACGCAATAGGTATCAAACCAACAAATTTTAAATAGGTCGCAACAAACTGTACTAATAAATTATTAATTGCCATAATTATAACAAGTTCTTCAAAATTAGGGATGTTGAAAGTGAAGAAATATATCGATATATCAGTATTTATAAAAATAACAAGATCGGCCTCAATATTTTGATGTATCGTTATATCGAATATACGACCTAGAAACGCCTTTTGTCAAAAAAAAAGTTAAGTCAAGTATTAAATAATATTTGATACCTACGGACTCTTGGCCGGATTCGAATTAGAAAAAATCGGTATACAGAATGAAAAATATCGATATATCAAGATGTTTTCGACACCTTTACATTAAATCACCGTTCGTTTGAGGAGTCTACTCAAAAATTCTCGATAGTAAGACTTAGCTTGAGAAAGAAACGAAATTAATGCATGTTATTCAAAAATTACCCTTAGTGCGTCCGTTATATTATTGTTTCACGAAAAACGGTGTTGCGCCTTGTGAAAAATGCTCGTGTATGAATTTGATTGCGCTCAAAGTGACAGATTAGCATTTATACTTTTTTTAACTACTTTGGGGTGAAATTATTGAAATTGTTTTCTTAATGGATTTCCTTGTCAAATCCCAAAATCGCTTGGGCTAGTAAATACGTTAGTCATATAAGTTCCCTCTTTTTTAAAATAGTTTATATATTATGATATAGGATTTTATGTTAATTTAGAAAATAATACTTTTCAATTTTTTTTATTGAACCTTCTCTTATATTAAGGCCATTGAAATTCTTGCTTGCTCTTCCCAAGAACTAAGGCGGCGTTTTTATTCTATATGATACTTTATTCATATAAGAGTAAAAATGTTTAGAGTTTAATTAGTATATTTTAATGTTAAATTTTATTATAAGTAATTATTTTATTACAACATACAACAATCACTTAGTACCTATCTTTTAGACGCCTTAAGACCCATTTACACGGTGCAAGTTTCTTGCCTGTTGTATACAATTAAATTGAAGCAATAAATGAGTTGCATGGTCTAAACAACAAATGGTCTAACAAATTATTGCGTGCAATTTATTGCATTCAATTATTGCTCTTGTATGTACAAGAAAATGACATCGTGTAAATGGGCCTTTAAATTCCTTAGCTATGCCATCTTTTTTCACGGCATTAAGAAATTGTGTTCCGAGATTCAAAATGCATATTTTATCAGATTACATTTGGGCCTTGCGATTTAGAATGCGTGAACATTTCACCGTTAATTTGACAAGGATTATGATTAACGCCCCCTGTAACTACACTTACGATCCATGCATAAGTAATATTCATTTTAACACCGTGCGTTTATGAAAAAGGTAGGCGCCAGTGAATTTTTTCGCGGAAAGTTCTCGAAGGTAATATCCGCTCGTGAAAAGGCGACATTTTTATTAATAAGTACCTAGGCCAAGTATCAGCTTATATATCTTTTGAAGATTCCCTCTCCGATACAAAAAAAAGGGTCCGTCCGGGTACGACCCCATGGAAGACGGGAGTGAATTGTCATACTTCTACGTTTCGTTTTCCGAGTGAGATAGCCGGGGCCCAATTTATTAAAAGGTGGCAACGCATCTGCATCTCTACGGGTGGTGCAAATGTCCGCAGCCGGCGTTTATCACTTAGCGTCAAGTGAATCGTAAGCTCGCTTGCCGTCTTCTCGCATAAAAGAAAAAAAAACCGTACAAACATTTCATTTACCGCCGCGTCATATACGGCAGTATTATAGCCCGTGGTGTTATAGATCAATTAATAGGTAACTCTGGGCGCGGTCCCCCCGTACCGCCACTAAAATCGGGACTCTCTTCCCGACTTACAGTTATTGCTCTTTTACAGCCCTTTCAAAGTTTATTACGGTCCCGAATTCCACCTCTGCAGGCGTTCTATGTCCTCGGCCCGACCGCCCTATATGTTCGCCCGTCGAAAGTAGGCACTCGCGCGAATGGCCACCGGTGACGTCATATTGCGGTCCGTTGTTTGTGCGTCGCCTTTAGGGACCCGACTTTTACCCGGATTTATTGATTCGATAATAATTCATATTGATGAGTAACGATTATTGACTGGGATTAGTAGACAGAGTAGAGTACTGATTTTCTTCTATTGTGTCAGCTACGGATTACATAATAGCTGCCTAAAAACACAGACATGAAGGCGAGGTAATTGGAACCTCTACAAAATCTCTAGTGTTGTTAGTATCCACGGGTGGTAGTATGCCGGCACTTATTTTAGGTGAAATGCTTGCTTTTGCCATCGTTTTGAAATAAGAAAGATATATTATGTCGGTTATAAGACTAGCAATTTTTTTTTGAGAAGGTGGCAAGTGAGCTGACGGTTCACCTGATGTGAAGTGATAACTGTACTTGGGGGACCCAAGTACATTTGCAACACCCGTAGGAGGTTGCATTTGCGTTTTCACCTTTTAATAAAGTGCTTTATCGCGGCTGGGTTTCACTAGAAACACCCGACATGGTCATGAACTACCTAATATTTTGGGTCTACCATGAAATGTCACCTCACCATAGGTTGCCTGAAAAATTTAGGTAGTTTTCCTTTCGTGTAAAGGAATAGTAATATAGATTAAATTGTTAAATATTTTCAAAATTGTGTTAGAACCTACAATTAGAACTTTGCGTGTGATTAATTCCAATTTATTAATTAATTTATTAAAGTTTACCAAGAGTTCTTACTTTTGTACACGGACTAATGACACAAGGGAATTATATGAACTATAGTCTATACCTCAACACGATCAAACATTAAACGATCCTTTACAAAAATCTATTACACTGCACCTAAATTTTGCTATTGACATGAAGTATAATATTCCAATCATTATTGGTTTATAAGTTTGATGCCTTATTATCGATTGTTTATTTGGCTGGGCTTTACGATATTGTTATATTGATGATCAACAATTCTATCCAAAAGCTAATTTTGGTCGCTCTCGCGATTCCAACACAAAAACCGATTAGACAAGATGATAA